GCTTTTATAGTGACCATTAAAGAAAAACCATGTTACTTACTCTTCTTAAAACTTACAGGAAAGAAACACAGGTCTAAAATGCAGCCTGTGTTGGAAAAGCAATCTAATTGGTTTCTTTTTCTGTTGTACATGTTTGTGAAGTTGTTATCTTTCATATATTGGCATTTTCAATGTGGGACTTGGAACTCCCATGGTCATGAAGCCCAGTGGTAATCAAATTTTTTAAATGACCACGTTATTAATAAAAATAAATGGTGGTAATTATAGTTAATCATTATGTAATATTGCATCAAAATTGACAAAAAGCCAACTTCGTGCACTGTCATCACAAATGTTATGATAAAAAGCAAACTGTGTTACTTATTATTATTTTTAGCTTAAAAGAATGATTCTTAGGATTGACATACAGCTCAAATAAGAAAACCAGCTCTATTGGATTATCATTTTTTATTGAATTGACTTAACTTTTTGTGAAATTCTCATTTTTCTCATTCTGGCATTTTCTAAGTATGAACTTGAACTCTCATGGGCCTGCTTTTACTTTCATCGGTATTACCTGTTTTGCATAATTTAAATTTGATGTTGACTTTGCAGTTAAGCGTATTATTTTATTGCATCAGAATTGACAGCATCCTATTTTGTGCATTATTACTTTGTGCTTTTCTTAAGATGTGACTTATGGGCCTGAAAGACCTTTGAGAGGGTCAGTCTGTAAATTTCCCTTGGGTATCACTAAGCTAAGTTCAGAGTTATAAAGTCATTTGCCTAATTAATAGGTTATTAAATGAGATTACATAAAGCACAGTTGTTGATATTTCCCTGTAAACTCCCAAAGATTAAGCCAGTCTGCTAGATTAATAATAAGGAAGCAGTGATAATTATGCAGGTAAATTTTGCAATATCTCTGGGTCCACTCCTGTTATTGACCATGTTACCTGTTGTGCATGATTAAAATTCAGTGTTGACTGACAGTGCTATTATAAGCATTATTTATTATTGCATCAAAATTGACAAAATGACCTATTTTGCATCTTCTGTTTTTTGTCTGTACATTTGACAGCTTTGCTGCCTTGTTTTCCATCTCAAGTAGTGTTTGGCTCAATTTTTCAATGGACACACTATGCTGGAATATTATTTTGATTTTGAGACACTACATGCCTCAAAATGTGTAAGCTGGCCAAATTATTATCATTGTCTCAAAAACATCTAAAAAAAATTAATAAAGAAAAAAAGTGGAAAACTGTAATAAAATAAACCAATATTTTATATTTATTATCATACAAAAAGCACCCCTTTGCAATGTTTTCATAGCTGCCTGAAAGACTTCTTTTTATGGTAAATAAAAAGGTTGGGATTGTTTCTTCTTAGCACACTATAAAAATGCTTCTAATGTAAAGACTCAATATTTTACAAAGAAATGTTCTGCATATTGGAAATATAAACTCTTTTATAGAAAGAATATGGAGTTGTCACATCCATCCATCTGCCCCTCCTAAATCTGACTGCCTCCCAATGGCATCTAAAGCTTACCATGGAGAGGGAGCCTATCCTGCACAGCAGGTCATTTTTGTACCTTTTTCCTACACCATGGGAAGTGATTTATAGTGCAAATGTGAAATGTCCGTGTCTTTTTCTTCATGCAGTAAGTCTTGAGCATTTACATATTTAGGGACCTGTGAATCACCATGTTTGCCTGAAGTCCTGCTCTCTAGTTCTGTTTGAGCCCCTCCATGAACTACCTTGTCTGATGATCCTGCCCTAAGTGTATCATTTACAAGCTGAGCCACCTTTTCAGCATTTTCATTCTGAATGAAAGTTTCATGATTCCCTTCTGCCGTGTGAACAATAACCTGTCCATTACAGACCTGGAAAATAGAAATATTATGCTGTTGGTAAAAAATTTCTGAAATTTTTCTCTACACTGAAGGTCAACGGAAATAAAAAGATTTTGTCAACTGAGATTTTTGAGAATAAAATTAGTTTGTAGTGATGTCCTTATGTTTACCTTGAATTTCAGAGGTCACTGGAAACGTGGCTCTGATATCAGCATACCCATATGCCATACCTGTCCTGTAAAACAGCAGGTGGGTATGCTGATAACAGAGATCAGTTTCCATCTACCTCAGACACTGGGGGGTTTACGTGGCTGATAAGAACTAAAAGTAACATGGAAAGGAGAGATGCTCTTTGAATACTTGCCTCATTTAGACTGTAATCGTATCCCAACTTTTCTTTGTAACCATTTTCTGTCTGTGCCTTGATCAGCACAACATCTCCGTGGAGAGTGTCTGAAGGCTTGTACTTCTCTGCTATGACCAGCTTCTGGTAAAATGAGACGATCACAGCTTTCAGATCCTCCTCATTCTTGAACAGCTTGGTTTTCATCAGGTGTTCTGTTACTATTGATACTCTGTCTTCCAACGATGGCAAAGACATCAAATGAGGCTTAAGCTAAATAGACATAGAGAGAGGGGATGTAAAATAGAATTAAACTGACATTGAATTATAATTCTAACCAATGGGCACCTGGATACAAAAAGATGAAAGTTATATACTAATTAAGGGTGTTTCAGGCACTCAAATCACATCCATGTGAAGCAAATTCTTTTAAAAGAAAAAATCCCATTACAAATTTCAAATGGCTCTGATCTGGTAATTTTGGATTTTACATATCTTACATATCAGACAGTCATGGATTTACCTGTGTGTACTCAACAGGAATAAACTGTTGTACAAAGGCACACAGTGCCTCGCTCTCTGCATCAGCTTCATTATCAGTGGACATCAGTCTTGTTCTGTACTGCTCTGTGTGGGCAGCAACATAGGTGTGGGAGCCATCAAGCAACAGAAGGTGCTGCACCTCGACAGCCTTGCCCTGAAGCTGAAGTGCCATTTCTAGAGCAACACAGGCCCCAAATGAGTATCCAGCTAACCTGAATGGTCCTGTGGTTTGGATTTCACTTATTTTCTGAAAAAAAATTACATGCAGTCAGTTAGCTCACTTTATACACTTGCCTTAGTTATTATCATATGGATATTTTTCAATGCATTGCCAAGCAGTTTTGATCAGCCGAAATTTACACAAAATGTACTGTATTTCATTTCAAAGTCAACAACTCCACACAAGTTAACAGCAGATGCCTAGGATTACTATGGGTCCAGACACAAAAACTGTAGACTATATCAGTGTACCTGTATGTAGAAAGCTGCCAGGTCCTGTATGGAAGTCATAGACACCTGACTGGTGCACTGAAGCCCATACACAGGATACTCTATGTAGGAGACCATGGACTGCAAACACTGGATGTGACCTGAAACATGGCACTTCTGTTGTCAATAACTTGATTATAAAGCCAATCAATTACAAGCAATTAAAAAATTATAAATGAATCTGAAAGTCAATCAATATTAATCAAAAGTCTCATACAGTAAGTGTTTAAGCTGAAGCAAATATAATATATCAACTTTAGTCATACACGCTATAATTTGGTCAGCAGGTATACCTTCAATAGGATGGACGATAAACAATGGAGTTTCTGTGCTTTCTACTGCATTCATCCTAACAAGACAGTCACTAGGAATGAGCTGGTCCAGATTGTATCTAGCCAGCGCTGTGCTTTGAATGTCTGCAACAGCATCAGAAACATGTGGAGAACCGTCACTCGTGTCCTGAACTGGTTTGACCCCCTGAGTTGAGATTGCTTTCAGTTTGTTGATTGTCAGAGCTCTCACATCTTTCATGGACAGAACCACATCAAAATCTCTCTCTAGAGTTTGCTTGATCTCAACACCCATCAGGGAGTCTAGGCCCAGATCTGCGAGGGTGGTATCTGGGTTAAGTGTACTGGGGTCTTTCACACCTGGATTACACAGTGAACAGAACTTAAATTTTAATATTTTTACAAACATTGAATTAGAATTATTTCATACACAACTGAATTGTCTTGCTTTTTCCAGAAACAGTTCATAGACTATAACAAAACAAAACCAAACCAAAAAAGACAAATAAAGAGTTTTACTGAACAATCACTGCACTGCTCAATCCTACACACAGTATTTATTGCATTTAAGTTATTTCATTGCAAGTTCTTGATTTAATTAAATGCAGCCACCTACACAATAAAAACCAATAAGGTTGACTATATGCAATGTATGACTAACTTACCCAAGATGTTTCCCACAGCATCCAGCAAATCAGCACCACCATCTCTTTTATTCAATGTGGATTTTTCTTTGTCAGCAGGCACAAAACTGGACATAACTGGACACGGCTGATTAAGGAAGTGGTCAAGAGTGGCCAGACATGATGTAATCCTTTGTGGTATGGTACCACCAATCACAGTGTCATTGTTGCCCATGTTATCCAAAACAATGCCAACATCACCTGCAGGACAAAATGAAAGCAGTGATCAATTTGTCTCTTTAGTAGAGAATTTTAGATAGTAAACATCTATTTCTAATATAGATTTTTTTCAAATTTTATCACACACATATGAATATAAATGCATAAACTTTACAAAGTAATGAGCCTCTACTACTAGTGTTTCAGATAAAAAAGGAAAAATATATATAACCTCTTTAAAATGTAATTATACAGTAAAACTATTTGCATGATCTGTTACACATACCTATTGCACCCCACTGTATTGCCAGGCCTGGTAGTTTGTCCTGGCATCTCCTCTCACACACCCTTTCCATGACAGAGTTGGCAAAACCATAATTAGTTTGGCCAGCATTTCCTCGGCCACAACTTACAGAAGAAAACACCACAAACCATTTTAAACTCTCAGCACAAAGTTTGCGAGTAACTTGGTCCAAATGCATTGTGCCAGCCACTTTAGAGTCAGCAACTTGTTGAAATGTTTCTGCACTTTGATTTTCCAGTAATCCATCTTTCAATACCTGAAAGAACAAAAATGTAAAGAAATAACAATACCTAGTTTGGAAGTTTCTAATTGACACTTCAAGCATAAAAGACTACACTTTATAATGATGCATTCAATACACATTATATATTTTACAGTAAAGAAGCAACATCAATCAACAGTTCATACAAAAATGTAACAAAACATAAGAAATAAAGCATACCATGGCAAGGTGAAAGACTCCACCAACTGGTCCTTCTTCCAAGGCCTCCTGAATGAGTCCCTCAGTGTCCTGCAGGGTGGAAATATCTCTGGTTGAAATCCTCACATCAAGTCCCAGTTCTCTCCACTGCCTGATACACCGAGCCTGATAACCAGTCCTGATTCCTGAGCGAGACGTGAGAAGGAAATGTCTAGCCCCACGTTCAATCAGCCACCGTGTCAACTCCAGACCAAACCCTCCCAGGCCTCCTGTGATGATGTAGACCAGCTTGGGGTCACAGGTAGTTCTGCATATGGCAGGAAGTTTGATTGAGGATGGAGGTGCTACTGTCTCCGGTTCTTCATCTCTGACCTAGATTATCAAATCAACAAATTTTGATGTAGCTTTTCAACCACAAGTCAGTCATAAGCAAAGGAAGCAGGTTGCCTAAGAGGAATTCCTCCTCTTTTTTCTGAATGCTTAGCCACTCCTTCCAATACATCACCATTGTTAATTATTCATTTATTTCTTTTCTTTCTATAATTAATGGATGCAATTTAATGTTTAACATTTCTATTGTGTAGTTTGGATGCTCACGTTAAATTTTACCTCGTAAATTTGACGAACTGAAGTTAATTACCTGTTCTTATTATTTTACCTTAATAAGTACTTTTCCTATGTGCTTTCCTTGAGCCATGAACCTGAAAGCTTCTTCCACATTTGATTGGTCAAAGGTGGTTGTCTTCAGTGGACACACTGCTCCTGATTGGATACCTTTAGTCACATGATCTGCTACAATCTGCCAGTCATTGTTTCCTTCCTCAAACAATGCATCTAATAATATCCCATGGAATGTGACATTCTTCAAAAACACTGACATACCTAAAATTGTTAACAAATAAAAAGCAAATTAATATGATGTCTATCACTGCAAAAAAATTACAAATTCAACATGGTACCTTTAATTTCAAACAACTGACAACAACCAGGAACCATTCATGCATAGGTTACATATAAAAAGTTTGCAAATTCAACTTTCTTTCAGCTCATTTTGCTTTATTGTGCAGAATCCGACTAACTTGAGGCAGTATGATTAGACATATTAATTTTTATCTAATTTCCAAATATTAGAAGATCATCACAACTATTGTTCCAAAGACAAACAATTAAAAAATCATCAAGGTCCATGTATTCATGTATCTCATTAATCAATCAACCAATCAATAAAAGAACAAAATAATAATAATAATAACAATTATTAATTACCCAGAGCAGAATTGTTTGAAAGATCAAACTTTCCAATCTCCAGAAATCTTCCATGGTTTGCCAAAACTCTGACGCTAGATTGCAACTTCTCTTCAGACAGGGAATTCAGCACCAAGTTCACACCTGAAAAAGAACAAAATTAGTACCCAGTCTTCCAGCAAGGTGTCTAGATTTTAAATGGAATGGCATTTCCAAAGCTTGAAAATATCACCACCCCAATGTCTGACATTTTCAATAATTTAGTATTTTTCATAAAGACTAAATTATACCTGAACAGCAGACAGTTACAATGTACCTTTCCCCTTGGTTGCTCTCAAAATATCCATTTCGAATGATGTATCCCGTGAGTTGGCAAAATGCTTGTCTTTCAGCTGAGGAAACTGGTCCATGAGGTACTGTTTTTTCTCCTTAGAACCAACAGTTGTAAATACTTCACAACCATAGTGAAGAGCCACTGATATAGCTGCCTGACCAACACCTGCAACAAGATCAAAATGCCACATATGAAGATCAAAAATTAATTATCTGAACTTGATATACAGCCATACCTTACTGGGTAACTTCTTGTTTTCATAAAAAGAAAAATTAAATGGCAAGAAAAACAATATATCCATTTGTGTATACAAAAAATGTTTTTACTAACATTTCCTATTGAGACTTCATGTTTTTTTTTAATTATCTATGAGGCATGGCAATTTGACCATTCACCAAAGCATATTTAGTATCTATAGAAATGTTCTTCTTTATCATTCCACAAGAGACAATGACATACCTATTTTACCAAATGTATGACTGCAGTTGAAAAACAATCTCAGTAAATCATGTCTGTAAAAATGCCACCTGTAATACCTGAACTATAGTCTATATACTAACCTCCACTGCCAGAATGGATCAGCACCCTCTCTCCTTTCCTCATCTGTCCCCTGACCACCAAGGCATAGTAGACTGTAGCATAGACCACTGGGACAGAGGCAGCCTGCTCCAGTGTCCATCTATCTGGAACTGCCCATAGGAACCTACCATCAGCATCCACTGAGGTAGCAAGGCCCTGAGGAATTCAGAATAGCAATGCCAATATTACTTATCTATTTAAAGTATGTGAGTCAGCCTTTTTTAGGGTGGATAAAATGAGGGCCTCAGACTTTTGCTATAACATGTGGCTCTCATGTTCTTTCGTATTTATTTAATATATTAAGCATACAATATGTGATGGACCTTTTTATAGTGAAAAACTAAAAATGTAAATTTTGGAAATTTTCCTTTATCACTAAGGTATAATCTATTTAAAACCACTGAAAAAATTACAATTTATTACAGTTTACAAGTTCCAAGTTTCAAAATTTCACCACCTTGAATGAAATTCAAAAGTCATTACAAGAGTGGAGACTAAGAACCCAAAATCGGGTTTATGGTTTTATGAATGTTAAGGATTGGACATGCCTTATAATTAAGGGTAAAAGAGTGGAAGTATCAAGGAAAATTTAATTTTTACCATAAAAAGCTCTAACATTCATTTGTGTGCCTTTAAAGAAAAAATAATTCATAGAAATTCAATTTTAATAGAACCCCACTGCTATTCAAGTTCTAATTACCTTTGCAGGTAGCAGACCCATAAGTCTTCTTCCTGTCTGGTCTCTTCCAGAAAACTCCATACCCAGCAGACAGTCTTGAGATGCCAGATCACCTGCAGATCAAACAAATATAAACTAGAGGATCAGAGAGGCGATACCGCCTCCGAATATTGTACCACCAGCTGGAGCAAGCGCATTCGTATAGACCCCCACATATACAAAATAAGGAACACAGCCACCAGTCTTGTGCTTGNCCAAAACCATGTGTACCGCCAGCGCCTACGCTGGTGGTACAATAAAAATTGAACCACAACTATTTCAATAATGATACGGTATAGTACCCCATGCATCCTATACAGTCCATGGTTTATTACATTAAAGGAGGGGGAGGTACTCTGTCCCCTGTGCCCCCTGCCTAAAATCCCCTATGACTATAGTGCTATATGCCCGTGTATATAGAGCAACTTTTTTTCGTAAAAAAATCATCTCCTTCATACCTGGTATGGCATCAGGAGGCAGCTTCCCAGTGGCCAGCATGACATCTCTGAAGTTGAGAGCAGCGTAGTACACACTACACAGTTTTTTACTGGGGTTCTGGCCAGGGTCAAAGTACTTTAGGGGAGACTCGATCCAGTGTAAACTGGACAGGTCACCCCTAGTCAGCACATTCACAAAAGCATGGTTGACTTCAGTGTGAGGAATTTGACAGTCTGCAAGGACAATAATGATGGTAGTGTGGTTAAAACAATATGATATGCCAATGTCAGTGCTAATTAAATACTTACTAACACTTAAAGAAAGTTCAACTGACAAAAAAACAACAACATTAATCATGATTTATGACAAATCTACTGCTTTTTAAAATAAAAACTATATATCATCCAATGGACTTCTCATAAAAAATGTTTTTTTTCAATTAGATTAACTAAAGTGAAGAATGTTTTAACTGTGATCATGTTGTCAATGAGATAACATTGTATCCACATTAAAATATGGCCTACCCTGATGCAGTGGCATATGTCTAAAGGACCCCCATTGGCCGTTTCTGTACACATTCATCACAAGGTCCTTTTGTCTTAGAGACATAAAAGTTGGACTTTCCATTTCCATACAAGAATCAGGTAAGTTACCTTCACTGGCATTGAAAATACACCTGAAAAATACACAAACAGGTCATTCATATTCAAGAACTTAAATTTCCTTTACGATGTCAAAAATACCTTCCAACTTACTAAATACCTTTGAAATAATCTAGTCTGAATGGATTTTAATGGTGAATGAATGTTTAAAAAATGTTCCACGATCTCACAGATTTGGTTTACATACCTAATTCTATCACCTCCAGGCTCTTTTCTGAGACAATTCACTAGTCCCACTATTCCATTGCAAGGCTCATTTTTGGACACCAACCAGATAGTGGCCTCTTTCGGCTTGTCCAAGTGGTCAGCCATGGTTTTCTTTAGCTGCTCTACCCACTCAAATGTGGTCATGTTGTCAATGATGAGAAAGGTTGGCACAGCATTGGTCACTGTAGATGTTTTCCTACATAAGAAAGTTGTGTGCATAAGTCCATCACTCTTTTGGGCAATTATCTGCAAACCTGCTGCTGTAAATGTTTCTGTCCACTGCGTTTCACTTAAGTACATCCCACAATGCCTGTGATTGTCCTCTGCTATGAAGACCTCATTTCCTGTGTATGATGACATGAATGCTAGGGGAAAGTTTTGTGTAGGCTCACTTATCAACAAGAAGCCATCATCTTTCAGTAAACTAGAAAGTATGTCTAACAGTTCTGAAATCCCTTCCTGCTGATGCAGTAAACCTTTTGCTACAATCAAATCTGTAGATTTAAGGTTGTCTGAGGGTGGAGATTTCAAATTCCATTCAGTGCTTTGAACATTTAACATCTCTAATTCTTCCTGGTCCAAATCTTGGACTCTCTCATCAGTCACTGTATAATCCAATTTGACCAGAGGATGTGACCCTAGAGACTGATTAACTGGTTTGTACATCTGCCCATGGACTGCCCCAACCTCCACTACCTTCAATGTAGAACTGTTGACATTTTCTAAAACCACATCTAAGCATGGTTTCAAAACTGTCGGATGGTATGCAGAAGTAAAGAGAGGATCTCTCAAGAGTTCTTGATTCTCCATTAAAAGTTCTCGGAAATTTGTGGCACCATTGCTCAAGGATGTGAGAATATTCTTGAAGTATTTTGCAGCTGGATAACAATTTTCATCTTCATAGCGCCCCAGCATTTCGTCAATATCTGCAGGACAATGTTCATAAGAATCCACAATGTTTCTTAGTAGCTCCATGTTTGGCAACTCTTGACCTTCTAGTTTCTCAAGCAATTTCTTCAAAATATGGATGGAAGAATCTGTGAGAAGTTTTGAATATTCAGCTTTATTTGAAGAACTGAGCAGATTTGATTCTTTGTATGGGACGAATGTGTATTCCTCAAGGACGGGTGGATTTTGTTGTTGTTGTCTCCTGGGTGCCACTGTTGCATGTAGGCCAAGGATTTCAACACCACCAGCAATACATGTGTTAGTGTATTTGTTAACACTAAGTGGCACAGCTAATAGCATGAAATAAAAAAAAAGAAATTTAAAGGTTTATAAATAGGCAATAATGCATGCATATATAATTATAATTATTATGCACATACAATTTTAAAATCAATGGTTCTCAAAAAGACACCATTCTAAATATTTGCAACAATGTCCCATCAAACATTTAAAATAAACCTGCTAACATAAATATTCTCATTAGTTTTGCAATTTCTAATCTAAAAAAATCATACAGGGGTTACATCTTTTAAAAAATAATTGTTATCATGATTACCTTGAGTACTTTCATCAAATTGTACAACTCTCTGTTCATGTAATGCAGGATCTACTGAAAGGGAAGTGATCCTAGTTGGCAGACGCAGCCCACGTCCAGAAGCGCCAAGTACAGAAACTTGTAACATGGTGTCCAGGAAAGAAACCCAGTTGTTGTTCCAGAGTAACTGGCCATGATCACCTAGGAAAATCAACAAATTATTTGTGTGGATTTAAAAGATGTTTATTATCATAAACATAAAATAAAACAATTTTTAGGCACAATCATCTTTTAGAGTAACAGTCTCCTTGGTACTGAATCTCTGTATATTAGAAGCAAGATTGTACTGAAAACTTTCAAGATCGATGAAGACGCACAGAAAATAATTTTTGTCCTTGAAAGATACTAACCTGTATTGTTTGTGGTCAGAATGCCCTGAAATGTTGGACCATAATCATATCCCCTGAGCCTCAACTCTTTATAGATGTCTCCAGACGTCAGATCTCTCCATTCCTGTGCTGGCTCTTCATCATCTTCCAACGTGTATTCTGTAGATCTCTGTGAGCCCGGATCTGTTGGAACATACACCTTTCCACTCGCAACCATAGCCCCATTTTCACAAATCTCAAATTCTCCTGTAGACTGCATTATACAGATTTCAAATTTCACCTTGGCTGAAAAAAAAAAAAAAAAAAAGAAAAAGAAAAGTATAAAGAACATGAAGCGCCCCCTACGTGAAAGTAACAAAAGTGATACTGTAAGATCTCTCTGCCTCTCACACGCCTCCCCATGTGTCGTCCCAATGGAGCCGAGATTTAATGACTGTCCCCCTGCAGGGACGACGTGTGGGGAGGCATGTGAGAGGTGGAGAGACTATTAAAAGATTAGGCGGTTTTTCTTTCATGTACGACCGCCATATTTAGTCCCCAGGATTTGTAAAGCCTGGCTCAACTTGTTGTGAATGCGATCTAAGAATCATATGTAATTCAAAGTTTTTGTGTTTAAAAGCCCCACCTGATTCACCTAGCTGTAATTTGTTTGTTAATTGTTAAAAAAGTTATCTCAAATTTTTTAATGTGGGCTTCAATTTATTTTTTGAGGTTTAAATTGTGTTCCTCTACTGGGTGCATGTCCATGCTTCTCCCAAAGCCCTTATAGTCTTTTACATATGAGAGACCACTGCTAACTTTAATAAAATTCTAATTTAAATAAATTAAAAGTTATACAAAGACAGGGTTGCACTCAACACTGAACTGTATAATACACCACTGTACTCACCATCTTTTGATAAAATTGTAGCTCTATGTATGGCAACATTTTCAAAAGTCACTGGCATCTGTTCATATAGTTGTCCCTTCATCTTTGCTAGAGCCCGCCAAGCTAGGACAAGGTATCCTGAAATGTAAAATGGAGCTTGTATATGACTAAATAAGATACATACCTACCATAAATAGTAAAGCCGTCTTTTAATTCTTTTACTTTAAATTCTAAAATTCATATACATATATATATATAGTAAAGATACTGTCTAATGCGTATAGACAAAAAATTGGACCAACATTCAAAACTAGTTCTTGCTTTTAATTGCATCAAGCAAAAAACTATGATATCTTTATTGAGCTGGGTTAAAAATTCTCTGTGAAACATTTCTGTTTTATAACACCACTCTAATTCTGTACCTGTTGCTGGAAAAAGAACCCTTCCATCTATCTTGTGGCCGACCAAATAATGATCAGGAGAATCCGGGGACATGTCCACCTCATACACAAAGGCCGTACTTTTCCCACTGCTCCCAGACAAGGCCATGAAGTCATCCTGGGTCGGAACAGAAAAATTTTGGGAATGGTCCCACTTCACCAGGTGAGATATCATAGGGGTGCCACTGGGAACTGGAAAATGGACTGGTGGGAAAACCTTCAAGGGGTCTGGATTCACTCCATTCATGTAGAGCCTGAAAGGGAAAATGAGGTGTAAACCTAATTTACACATTTCTTTTCGTAGGAAAATGGAACAACAAATGTTTTGCTGTACTCAAAAAATTCTGTTATATTATTAAGTCAAACCTTGAACCTTAAAATATGCGACACATAAATCAGCTGGTTGAAAGATTAAAAAAAATGCACTTGTTATAATTACGCACCAAAAAAATTTACACTCCCTGACCACATTATCCAAAGAATGGCAAAACCAAAGAATAATTTCCTTATTTCTTACAACTCCCATACAGCAGCAGAACTGTGCACCAGTATGGTATAATTACCACAAGAATTAAAATGAAGAATACACGATTGCCCAATAAATCACTTATTGACATACTTTCCAATGTTGGCCCAGAAATGTTCAAGATTGTTTGAATGCCCCCTCTTCATTAGACTAGTCAAAGTGCACTTTGGGCCAAGGGACCTCTTTAGTATGGACTGCAGCAGACAGTGTGGAGCTATCTCTACAGTGATGGCATTCTTAGGAACATGCTGCAGTGCCTCTTGGAACAACACGGGGCTGACCAAGTTGTTGACGTGGTAGTCTGCAGACGACATCTGAGCAAGAGAAGAGGTCCATTTGGATTCTGGGATGGAAGAACTGATCCATTTGCTGCTTCTTGGTTTTGGGGTTTTAATGACCTAGAAAAAAAAGTCAAATTTGCAGTTATGTTTGGGTACATTCAAAAACCAAATGTCTTCAATAATTCAAATGAACAATGAATCTGTAAAGGAACAAACCTTGTCCAGTGCTTCTTTCAAGTTGGGTGCAATTTTAGCCATGTAATAGGAGTGAAAAGCTACCCCAGCACTGTGAACTTCCTTGGCAAACACCCCTTGATCCTTGAGCTCCTGAACAAATGTTGCTACTGCTTCCTTGGGCCCAGAGATGGTCACAGTGTCCTCAGCATTGTGACAGGCTGGAACTACTCCTGCTGGACACTGCTCCTGGGCCTCTTTCCATGTTAAACCTATGGAATGGAAAGAATTTACAACAATAAATATAATGTAAGAAAATACCATGATTTAATTTGGGCAGAGAACCCTGGATCTATATTTAAAACAGATTTAAAACAGGCCCATAGCGAGGTTTGGGGGTTTGAAAGAACTGCCCCTTTTGCCGGGTAAAAGTTCATTCTGGATAAAATCTGATCTAGGTACACGAAAGGTTTCATTGTAAAAGGCCCACCTTTTCAAAAAAAAAAAAAGAACCCCTCTTTAGAAATTGCTGGCTATGAGCCTGTAAAATTTCTTGAATGTTTTATAAAGATCTTGGTCACACTTTAGCCTTCAAAATTGACAGAGCGATTTTTTTCGCAACATTTTTGCCACCAATTGGCCTGCATCTAGGATTCACATTTAAAAATGTAATAAAATATTTAAATTAAAGAATTAAATTTAGAACACCTACCAATAGCAGCCATTGCCCCTGCCTCTAAATCTGCCTCCAAAATACACTTTCCTCTCCAGTATGCTGCCAATACAGTCTCCTCTGCAGTCAGGCAACCATCAGCATAGCCACAGCCCAACTCCCCCACAGAATGACCCACAATACCATCTGGCTTCACCCCCAGGGAACGCAGAGTGTCCACCAGTGCCACCTTAAGAAAGTTTTGTATATGAATCTGTTTACTTTTTTTAATTAAAAAGCACATTCAAAAGATATAATATGTCACAGGCAAGATTGAAATCCAGGCAGATTTAAAATCCCCTTAGGAGAGACTGAAATTTCTCGTCTTGGTGGATTTAAATCTGCCTGGATTTCATTCTACCCTGTGACATATCATTAATGGAAAAGTTTTTATTCTCTCTAGATATTACAAATTTATAGTAGCAAACATTTCTTGACTATATTTTAACTCACTCTTTTCTTACTACAAAATAAAATCATCATCAATTTACCTGTATAGCCGCTATTCCAACAAAAGAGTTGACAGTGTTCTTGAAGGTGTCTTCTGTGCCATTCACCAGCAGGTCATACAGACTGATATTCATTTTCTTCAGGCAGTGGTGAGATCTCATGATGGACTGTTTGAACACATCTATTTGCATCAGCTCTCTCCCCATGCCATGCCACTGGGTGCCCATCCCTGTAAAGACGTACCATACTGGACGGGGTTCTGATGGGCAGTTCTGAAAATACCATAAAATATATCTGTAAGGTTATAAGCATCAAAAACCTGTGGCACATTGTCATGAGAGTATTTGGGATTTCATGTCTGCTTTACTTAAATTCATAACTCCCAGAAACAATCCATAGGAAGTAAAAAAAATTAACAGCCCATTTCTAAAATCTAAGTGCACTTTTTAAAATTAATTTCATATCTGTTTTACTGTAGATATTTTATTTTAAATTATTTTGTTTGTTTAGGTTATGCATAAAGAGTGTTCAAATATGATTACTAGAAATTTACAAAATTATTATGTTTTTATGAATTTTTTATAACAAAACCATTAAAAAACAATTCTTTAAATTTTGTAAGTATTGTATATATTAATTACCTGTATTTCTTGAATCTCATCAGTTGTGTTAAGCAGTGTGTACCCTCTGTATGGATGCATCTTGGGGTCACCATAGGCATTTTGATTCAGCAGTGCCTGGAGATTCAGATCTTTTGGGTGCTGTTTCACATTGTTTAAAACATGCTGCACACCTGCAAACATTTTCAAGAATTCAATTACTAATTGTTTATCATCAAAGATGAGTCATGTAAGTTGACTAGTGCTGATGATGGTACAAACTTTTATTTTTATTTCAATGATTATATTAAGTTACAGTGATTGCATTATCTTGTTTTACAAAGCTGTTCCCCCCAATAAATAAAAAATAAATAAATAAATAAATAAATAAATTAATTAATTAATTAATAATCAATCAGAAAAGCAATACACATACCTTCTTCTGTTCTTCCACAAAATGTGAATAGTCTTACTTCATTGGCTGCTGGGTGAACTGTTGTTTCCTTCTGATTATTTGACTTTAGAACTGCGTGTACATTTGCTCCTCCAAACCCAAAGGAATTCAGTCCAACAAGGCCCCCATTCCACTTTGTGCAGTTTGTCACGACTTTAAGCTTTCCATTAGACAGTCCTGGGATATCTGGATTAGGGGTTGTATAGTGAAGATTTGGTGGAATAACACTGTCTTCCATGGATATGATGACCTTTGCCAGCGCTGCCAATCCTGTCAAATAAAAAATGTACTGTTTTATCTCAGTCATTTTGAATGTGTGGTTATGGATGATGAATCAAAGTCACCTACACTTCAAATTTAGATGAGAATATCCATCAAATCATTAATGAGATGATTTATATCTCTTCCATCCTATGCAGAACAAAATTCAGTAAAAAGATATGTGACAAGTAAAATATGTATAGGCTATTTGATGTATGGGCAATCAAGGCCAGCTCTTTATGCCTGTTATGCCACGCCCAAACGAAAGTTTACAATTTTGTTTTCAATTTTGCTTTTAATGCAACATATATTTACACTAATTCCTCACCAGATGCTGGTTCAGGATGGCCCATGTTGGATTTGACAGACCCAATCAACAATGGTTGATCTCTGTCTTGACAAAAGATATCTGCTATTGTATTTGCCTCCTGTGGATCTCCCACTTTGGTTCCTGTCCCATGACATTCTACATAAGACACTTCGGACGGATTCACTTTAGCCTCTGTGTATATTTCAGTGAGCAGATTCTTTTGCATTTCCCCTGATGGGAATGTAATGCCTAAAGAAATATTCAAAATTAGTTAATTTTTGATATATTACAGTTATGCATCAGGCATTTGAATTCTAAAAGGAATTAAGCATATGTTTTGTATTGGAATTTATTTCTATGATAAAAAAGGCAACATAAATAATTCTATAATAATAAAAAGGCAAAATAAATTATTCAACTTGCTGTAACGCAACCTTATTTAAAAAAAACTTAAATATACCTGACTTAGTCAAAATAAAAACCTTTCACCCCAAATTTTAACATAACATATATAAAGCATTTGCGTAATCTGACCTTGTTTTTTCCTTCCATCCACATTGGTTTTTGAGTGAAGGACAGTACAATAAATGCGCTTAGCAGCAGAAGCTTTCTGGAGGTAAATGGCCACAACACCTTCACTCCGGCAGTATCCATTACCTTGATGTAAAAATATAAATATGCACTGGCAGTTTTTATTCATTAAAGCATTAACTGACTCTTATAATTAAATCATAATAAAAAATACTCTCAAAATTTAGATGATAATAAAGTTTGCAATGTCATTATTATCTGTATCTATTTTTTAAGGTGTGTTATAGCTCTCCGTGTTACATGTAACTTTGTAATAATGAAAGTAAAATACATGAATATATTGTCATAAATAATATAAAGTTAATGATGAGAATACGGAGAAATATTTATTAGCAGTACTTTTGGTAATCAGTATCTTAGAGAAAAGAGTCATCCTTCCTCATCATTCTCTTTTCAAATTTTCCACTGACCTGACACATCAAATGATTTACAAGCGCCCTCTGGGGACAGCATCCCTAGCTTCATGAACTGTAGAGCAGTAGTTGGCTTCAGGCACAGGTTGGACCCTGCCACAATGGCTGCGTCACACTGACCAGTCCTGATGGCTATCACTGCCTGGTCCAGGGCAAGTAGACTGGACGAACAGGCAGTGTCCAGTGTAAAACTTGGACCTGAAATATGGAAAGAATACAAGAGTCAAATACATCATGCATAAACTGACATACAAATTAACAATTGACATTAAACATTAAAATATGACTGCTTCACTCTTTATCTGTTTTTATGATATCCAATGCAAGAAATTAATTAGAACATTTTGTGTGAAATGTGAATAAGGAAATTGACTTTAATCAAAAAAGAAATAAGACCGATTTATCACAATAAATTACATCATGCTTGCCAAGCATTCTGAGGTCCATTTTTCTCAACATACATATAATGTTAAATTCATATATTTTAGTTGATATCAAATTAATAAATGTCACCCCACAAACCTTTAAAATCAAAATAGAAAGAGAGACGGTTTGCAAACATGGCGCGTTGGCAGCCAGTCATGCTGTAACCAATTAGTGTCTCAGGATCTGCAGACCATACCTCCCCTGCTTCAGAAGAACTAACACCGATATAGACACCAGTTCTACTGCCACGTACATGCTGAGGATTAACCCCTGAAAGCAGGAAGCCCAGAATGTGAGAAAAAGACAGTAAGGCAGCAACAGTAGAGATAATTAATATGTATATTAAACTATATAAGGGTGTCACTTCATTAACTGAACCACCATACAAATATTTTGTGTAAAATATCTTACTTAATTCATTCATTGATAGTTAAATCAATGACTGAGATGTGTATCAAAAATAGACATAACAGCTAAGATTAGATAACCAAATGAACAAAAATTATCTTTTCAAAAATACAAAGTATTTGTTTGATGGTTCACTTCTTTCAGGTCCTATAGGATTAGTACACAGTGACCACAGTGTATAGTACATAGTGTACAGCAAACTGGCAGACCCAGGATGTGCTGGGGGGGGGGCACATGTGATTTTTTGCTTCAATTTGCTTTGCAAATATAAAATAGTAAATGGGGATACTGCAAGTGCTTAATTTTGTCTTGTTTATCATACTTCAAGGTTAAGGGGTGAAGAGGGATAATATGGCCCACTGTGCCCCCTATGGTACCCCTTTAGCCTAGTAATGACATACAGTGCTAATTGAAGTAATACAGCCACACCCTACCATGTCACAGTGCAGTTGTATTAGTATACTACAGTTATCATGCACAATATACAGTGTACAACCTACATGGAACAGTATAAGGACTCAATATGCCATGCATACTGGTACTGAGTTTTCTTTTAATGTTTCATAATTTTCAAAATATTGATTTATATATCTGGTTATAAATGTATAAAGTCCAAACCATAGTAGTTTTTTTGCATACAATTGAGTCACATGTACTGTCACATTATATGTGTCTATATCAAATACAAATGGACCCCATTCACTTTGGCACCGACCTAGCTAGCAACAAACCTCTGAAATCAAAGAAACTAGATATTTGATGAGCAAACATGGAGGTTTGGCACCCTAAAAGCACGTCTCCATCTGTTTTGTCCATGTTGTAGGACCAGGCAACCCCTGCCTCAGATCCACTTGCTCCCAGATACACCCGGGTCTTACTGCCTTGTAATGTGGAAGGATTTACACCTGCCAAGGTCATCATGATTATATGTGACAAATAAACATATACATTCTTATATTAATCAATTTTTAATAAATACAACTGAGAGATTAATACAGTTGATTCAGCTCATTTCACATTAATTTTGTCTCTCAAGATGACAATAATCAAACAATAAAAAGCATAAATTAAATATCATTTATTTATTTTCTTCTGTAAAATAAAAAAAAAACATTTCATTTCATTTAAATAGGCTGCCAGTACAGTAACTATTCCTGTATACAATATAAAATTGCCATTACCTGCATCAACAAGTGCCTCATATGTGACTTCCAGTAATAGCCTCATCTGAGGGTCCATGGTATTAGCCTGCTTAGGATTCACACCAAAGAAAGTGCTGTCAAATTTGCTGAGGTCCTTTAGTTTACCATTTCTTCTGGGTAAGCCATGGAGACCTGATATTAAGGGCACAAAAGGGATGTTAGAGGTATATTTTGAAAAAAAAAAAGATTCCAGGAAAATTTTTATCACCAATTATGGTATAATTAAGTAATACCTAATCCTGTCCAAAACTGATATTAAGAAAATAACAATCTATACACCCAATTTGTAGTTGTTAATTTTTTGACATTTCCACCATAATTAATCTAATATCATATCTGTTGATATATCAGTTATGTGAAATTTAATTGTACCTGGTTCCCAGCGTCTGTCATCTTCTGTGACCATGTCCACACCATTCATCAGATTATCACGAAATTCTTGAACATTCTCAGATTCTGGCAATCTACATGAGAGACCACTGATGACAATGTCATTTCTTGTGTCCATTTTTACTGGCAGCGTATCCTCTGCCCCTCGTGTCTCACCAGTTGGAGCTGGCTCATCAAAGATATGGGCAGGCATACTGCTTCCAAAATTATATCTGAAAATGAATATTGATAATTGAAAACAAAACTGCAAATTTCAAAAGATTTGCACAGCTGATGTCTGATGTATTTGTGTAATTTAGTTCTAAGTCTCACCAAGACATATTTAGCAGCCCGGCACTCTACCAGCATGCTAGAACAACTGATGCATATCCAGGTTAACCTATCATTAAAGTGGCATCTACCGTGTATATAATCATATTTTAAACTGCTGTCTGCAACAAACAATGGGAACATCTAAATTACACCCTTCACACCCGTTTACATTCAAATGTAATTTATTGACAAAGAAAAAAAAATCACATGTACTCCTGAATGTTTTGCAGTTAGATCAAAGGACAAGAAATATGATAATAAATAATATCATGATACCAGTTTTGATGGAATGATTACTAGATCGACCATATGATAAAATCACGGAGACATCTGCTCTCTGCTAAAACAATGTTTTTTAAAAAAACATCACTGTGTTGAATAGATAGAAGAATGTCACTAACATATATAGAACAAATTAGGGCAGTATAATTATAAATAGTTAATTATAAAACCCTGAGAACAAGAAATCACTAATGCAGACCTCTTCTAAAAGGCTGAAATATTTCTGTATAGATTCATGCTATGAAAATGAATTTATTTTATATATATATGTAATCATTTCATCTTGATTGTATAAAAATATGATCAAGATAAAATACATAAAATAATAGCACTAACAAATCTTTGTTGCTGTTTTATTTATAATTAATTTCAGTGAGCATACTAGTATTTATTGGTTATATTAATTAACTATGCAGATATTACTGAATAACCTTCAAAATTAAAAAAAAAATTTGCCAGCATTTAATAATTAAAAATATAACAATGAGGCATTTATAGTAGCCCAAATTAACGAACTTTAAAAATATATCACTTGGGAATTGCTTTCAAATGCTATGTAAATATTTCACAGATTGGAAAACTGGTAAAGGCACTACCTGTAGGCCCTTATTAGCATAATAACACGGTGACATCAGCAGTACGTGGCAGTAGAGTAAAGCATCACACCACACATCACACCACCTTCTGTACATACCATAAACAAAACCACAACTATTGACGTTCTATTTTAAGCGACCAATGAAATGACAGCAGTGTTTTTTATTATTACTATTTCATATTAGTGCAAAACATCACTCCTTACTAACTCGTCTTGCCGAATGGCTGCTCAACAATCTAGATAGAAACTGAAACTGATCTGTGTATCTTTAACACCAATTAATTAAACCCCATTTATTATAAATATTAATCCTTCCCGTACTAGTTGTTTTAAAAAGCCTTGCAATACATTTAGGTTACTTTGTAAATCTTCTTTTACAATTACGAGAGAAAACTCAATCACCCATGAAACAGAATGCATCTATGTATATTACACTTAAACTTTTTCACAAAACGTATTCATCTGTTTTAGCACGGTACAAAACCCACAAACATTAGCTGCAGCTTCTAATGCGCACATATGCGCAGTTTGTGAAGTGGTGGAGGTTGCTCACATCAAATATCAGTCTAATTTTAGAGGATCGATCTGTAATACTTTTGTCTTAAAACGATGTTACTTTCCCCAGTCTCGAGAAGTATTCGGCGGTACACGTACATTTTGTATATGGTGTTGTTATGTCAAAATAACTAGAGGGTATACTGAGTAAGCTCATTTGCCACCTGGGCATAGCAAAAATCACAAACTTAAAACAAATAGCCACAATACAAAAAGCTGCCTAATACTTACTCCTAGCGATAAGGAATTGAATATATATCTCTAATAAAATGAATCAAATGAATAAGAAACCACTACTACTCCCCCTCCACGTGCATATTTTGTTTGGGAGCTAAATTTAGCCGGCCAGTACAAAGTCCATTCTGACGTATCAAAATTCAACAAACGGCGCTCGTTTCAGATACAGAATATCGTTTCTAGCCATAACTAAGTAGAATACTTTCGACGGTCGTTTCGACTTACCTGTTAAGATCCGGGTGTATCTGAGAGCAAGAAGAATAATATTAAAGTCATAAATTCGTTGGAATATGCTTTTATATTCAGTATATGTTGCCTCTCAGATGATATGAGGCCACAAGACAGCGACCAATCAAAAGCTGGATCGAGGTCGGGTGTCAACTGCATAAGATTGCACAGAGCATTCAGTGTGTGAGAACCGCAAGCGCCGTAAAAAGCCACGTTTACAACCGCGTTTATTTGGCATGGCAAAATCAGTCCAAAACCTTGTGACTCTTATCAAGGACGTCCTAGGTTATATTTGCAGATAAAAAATAGCTTGAAAATATAAATATTTTTGATAATTTGCTTTTTAGGAGTGATGTTGATGTTACATAGGCCCGTTAAATACTGTAGATGCTTTAGGAAAATTTCCTCCAATGCCTATATCTAATTCTTAAGCAGGTCAAGCGTAAGTTAGCTTATTTTACTGCTTGAGCATTGGAAAAAAATGCACTTCCCTGGCTTATCCCCTTATTAAAAATAAAATACACAGCAAACTACTGCGATTACAGAGTGCGTACGTGTGTGTGTGTGGTTGTGTGTGTGTTTTTTTTTTTTTTTTTTTTTTTTTTTTTTTTTTTTGGGGGGGGGGGGTGATACACTTATTGTAGTAATCTTAATAATCTAAATTTGGTAAGGCGGGTACCTACAGAGCACCATGCATATCTTACACTGTATACACCTAACTTTTTTTCCACTGAAGTTCAATTTATGTTCTACTTGAGCTTATTTTATCTACCCGCGGTATTCCCCTATCTTCTAACGGTGATAGGGAGGTCCTTTCTCTTTCCTTTTTTACCAAACGATGTGCTCCTCACCCTTAAATATTGTTCTCAAGGAATCAGTCTAGTTTCGGGAAATACTTTTGTTAACAATCAAAACCTGTTAGAAACACAAAACCTTTGGGGGTTTTCGATAAATTTGGTGGAATAAGAAGGACGCATTCACTGCATGCAGGAAAAGACTTAAACATACTACATATTGTAGTACGTGCTATCACTTGGTGGCGGACATTTTCTGGATTACCAATTTTCCTTGACCAAAACTAAGACTGGGTTCCCATACTTAGATCGATCCATCTGGATCGACCTAACTCCCTGGGGGTTCACGCTAAATTGTTATCAGCTCAAGAGGCTTAAATGTCTGTCACGCCTACCGAATCAGCTAGGGGTAAAGTTAATTACCCCCCATAAAAGTTTTACTTGGTGTGACAGATGTTTAAGCCCATTAGTTTGACAACAATTTAGTGAGACTACCCAGGGAGATATATCAATCCAAATATCTGTGGGAATGGTCCCTAAAACTAGAAATCAGTGGCGGATTTTGGTGGGGTGTCAGGAATTTCTAAAAAAAATTCACACCAATGGTCCCCTCTTGAAATCAGAATTTTGACTAGTTGAATCATAGTTCTAAACCGTTTGTCCTTTAAATAAAAATACCAAAAATTTTCGGGGCTCTTCAGTGAGCCCCGAACTCAATGTCAAGGGGGGGGGGGCTTCACATTCGCAGACCCCCTCTCCCTTCAAATAATCCTGGTTCTGCCCCTGGAAATCCTTTGGGCCCTCAGCAAAATCAGTCTTTGTGGGAACAGTGATTTTTTCTAGCATGAAAACATATCAATGAAACCTATCACTTAATAAATTAGCAGAGATATTTACTAACACCAATTGGAAACAGACCTACCAAAAATGGAAAGAGTGATAACTAAGTGCATTATTTTTTTCTTAATATTTTATTACTTGCCACCTTCACATGAAATGCATTTTTAAATTACACCACTTCTTGAAAGCATCTGCATATTTTTCATTTCAAACACCACCAACAAATTCTTGAAAACAGACTTAACAGTTAATTATGTAACATGCATGTACATAATAATTAACTGAAACAATTACAATTTCATTTCTAAACTTCAGTTATACAGCTGTTAAACCATAAATAATAAAACAATGTATTAACAATCTATAGGAGTAAAAAGAAGTGTTAAACTTGAACATTTGTACATTGTAATAAGCATTGGATTGTCAGTACAACAGAATTATCAATCTGGTTTCATGATTTGGATACTTGCTTGGATTTCGAAATTTTACTAAGAAAATAAATGCTAAGCAAGGCTATTGTGCTAGTCTGTGCTCTTCATTTCTTATTGCTTTCACCCTATTTAAACTTAGATTAATGAACATTATCAACTGGCACCATATTGAGCAAAAGCAGTTTCTAGCCATAATGAAATTTATGAAAAAAGATGATATACTTAATGATAATTATGTAGATATATACGCCTTATTTGACTAGATCTTTTCAAATGCATTAAAAAAGATAATATCATATATGACATTAAATTTGTTATGGAAAAATGTATACATAGCTGGATTTATGTGACCTTTCAGGTAAAAATTGAACACAACCTTACATCTATCTTACAACACTTCACCCTTCTTCCTTGGAAATAAACTGTATAATTGCAAATTGACCTGGCTGTTGATTTTTATTTGGGGGAAAAAAAACGTTTTCATTCCAAACTAAAAAATAGCTAATAAATTTTAACCATAATTACCATATTTTCTTCACTTAGATAATACCAAAAGAACATTTACCTGCATCATTTGCATTTTGACTGAAGTAAAATGCAATCTTTAAAGAAATGGGACACAAACAACCAATTGCTTTATAGGGATATAGATATATATGCGTTTAATGTAAGACAATATAAAGATCTTTAAGGTAAGTTTCACTACCATGAAACAAGATAACTGACCTATTCTGGACATTTTCATGTCAGTAAAAACAGATCATTTGACTTTCTGTAACAGACATTGTGGAAACACTTCCGAGATCACACAATCATAACATGAACACAATGAACACAGCATCAAACAATACTGATGTAAGATTCTAGTAATTATTGTTTCAAGACTTTGAAAATTGGCCATCTTTTAAATTACAAAACAAATCATTAAAGCAACTTAAGAAGACATTCTAACCCTTCCAGCCATAGTAAAACACTTTGGCACATGTATATGCTACAAATAATATAATTATATGTATTAAAGTATGAACTGTAAAGGATGATATAGCTTTCATCAAGTAACATTTTTGGAGAGAGAGAGAGAGAGAGAGAGAGAGAGAGAGAGAGAGATTGTTTAAACATAATTTAGACTTCATTTCTTTCACTGTAACAGTGATGTTTTAACAAATTATATAGTAATTTCACCCAATAAAGCCATGTTTAAGTGACAAAGTTTAGGATTTTAAATTAACCCACGATAAGTATAATTCCAACAATGACATTACTTTTTGACTCAATTCTAACTGATAAATGATATGAATTAATGTTGGAAAAAAATTACTCCCCTCCTGATCAACACTGCTGCCAAGCAACCATCTTGACAGCTTTAATTCAAGAAGAATCCAGAAGTCAATGCCAGAATTGAACTCAAAGGGAGATCAGAATTTGCAACATCATCACTTAAGCATGGGTTAAGAACTTTTTAATTTTTCCAGGTGGTTATAGTGTTGGCCAGTGACAGAAAAAGGAGGATCAAAGGTTGGTTAGCGAAAAAAAAAAAAAATACTGTTTACCAAAGGAAACTTTAATAAGTACAAGTTTTCTGCTGGAAAATCCTACACAGTGCACCTTTAAATATATGACCTACATGCATTTTGCCACATGCCTTTTCCTCAAAATACTGTGTTATATTTGGTAAGAATCACTGGCAGAACAATGAAATTTAGAGTGAAATTAGGCTGAATGTAAGTTTTTTCAGGGACCAAAACCTGAGTAAGTATTATAGCTTTTCATTTTCCTAAAATAGTAATTCAAAAGTTTGTTTTTCAATAAAGACATTTGAACATTATTCCTAATTAATAAAAGAAAAAATACCCAATTATGAAAAGCTTGACATGGATTGTCTTTCTTTGAACATACTTTAGTGGTTATAGAAAATTCCAGAGCATTTTCCCCAAGTGTTACATCTTTTCTTTTCAACCAAATATTTTCAGCTCTTTGTAGTATATAAAAAAAATTAATATAAAAGATAAATAAAAAGAATTGCACCTTCTATAAACTCTCTTGAGAATAAAAGATTGCACTCCTCCACTTGAAAGTTTTTTTGTGTTCAATCACTCTCAAATTTAGCCCAGGCAACACGTTCACACGTTCTCGCACCAATGCCGTGAGAAATAATTCTTTATCATCTACTTACTTTATAATCTGTTGCCTTTAACTTGTAGTTATGGGACAGTAGGACACTGTAAAAAATTTAATAATTCATAGTTTAATAGGAAATATATAACTTGCACTTGGGAATTCTCCAATTTCAATGATAAATCTTTCTTGCCTCTCCATCCCCTTTGACACTCAGATTCTGTTTCCTCTTTATATTTTCTCTTTCAAAAGCATGTATACAACATAGCTGCGGAGACCTGCTTTCGCTTCCAAGGGGAGCAAGAAAATGTCACAGCATCCCCTTTCCAGTATATGGGCAGTTGAGGATTTCTGTATAAATTTACAGCAATTTCCATCTCAAGTGAAAAGGTAGCTCACAGTCTTTGTCATAAAGGCTTCATTCACATGCAATGTCTATTTTCTAAATTCTATTTTCTATTCGCGGTATGTCTTATGATCAGGGTCTGTGCCCTGAATATCCCGCGGCGTAATTACTGGCAGCGCGAGCCAGTTACTATAAGTTACTATAAGTAACTGGCTCGCGCTGCCAGTAATTATGCGGCAGGATATTCAGGGCACAGACCGTGATCATAAGATAGCGCGAATAGGAAATAGATTTTTAGAAAATAGACATTCCATGTGAACGAAGCCAAAGTCTCTTGCAAATGTGCAATTTCAGCTTCAAGAGTAGCTCTCGGCAAATGTTACCTGCAAATGGAATGGAGTCTCTCAGCTTTCTCTTGGGAGAAGCTTGCAAGAAAAACTAGGGACAGTTACATGTACTTTCAAGTGGAGGAGCACCTTAAGAGACAAATTGTTTGGAAGTGGAGATGTTTAAAACAGGGAAAATATTTTGGAATTGTTATACAGTACAATAAATATATAAATATTATATATACTCATAAAACATACCCTGGCAACGACAATGTTTATACTGTTCACTCCTTTATAACTGCATAGCATAAATAAATTTGACAGCAAAGCTCAAATATGTGTAAAGGGCATGATGTAAAAATGTCATTACGTACATTTGAGAGAAATGAGACAATAATATACCTCAATAACATATAGCAGTTACAGCAAGGAAACAGGCGCACCTTTGTGCATCATTGCATAAATTGCAGGAAAAAGACTTTAAAACGCACCACTGACCACCATGATTACTTACGGAATCAGAAACTAGAACAACCATAAGAATTAGACATTGACAATAAATATTAACTATGTCATCTCTCTATCCTTCCTGTACGGGGATCAACTGAACCTATTTCTGATTTGGGATCTGGAGCTCTGGAACTCCAGTCTGTGTCTGCACAGATTCTTAAATCTCCACATGGGAAAGAAGTTGATGATTCAACCACGCACGTTTCTTCAATCCACCATAATTGTGCACTCAGCGTGTCAATCCAGTCAAACAGATCCTTGCCAAATTTCTGACCATTTTTCTCACATTCCGCCTTCTTGTCAGTGACTAAAATCACACTCTGTAGATCTGAAAAATCTTTCTCTTTGTAAAATCCTTCTGGACCCTTGTGGGCAGCCAAAGCCTCATCCTTTGTGATCTTTCTCTTGTTGATATGTGACAGTGGCAAGATAAAAAATTCCTGCTCTGCCATTAAATGCCAATCTGTCAATAATCTAACTGTCCATATTCCTGGTCTGAGAGGATTTTGGAACTGTGGTTTATGAGCACCTACATATACTCCCTGATTCACTGTTTCTTCAAAAGACCCAGCTATCACACCAGCTGGATCAACCCAAACAACTGTAACATCAAATTCCTTGCCTTGTCCCCACTCATGTCGTAAACTAATGTCACTGTAGGGTCCCAGAAAGTTGCCAAAATTTCGAAACACAAGTTCTTTGGGGTCAAAATTTGTGCCGACCTGAAAAAAATAGACATGCTAGTTAAAAACTGTTTGTCAAACAATTTCAGATGAGAGTAGCTTTTAAAACAACAGTATAAACAAACACCAAATTCAATGTATATTATCATAAAATAACTGATACTTCCTTCCAGTATGTAAAATATTCACTTACCTGCAAAGAAACCAGTCTTCCAGCAGGTCCTACAACACTGTGGATTTTAGTTGGTTTGTGTTTGGGTTTCATGTAAGTCTCAATTTGATACTGCCTTTCTTCAAACACAACAGAAAAAAGAACCAATATCCCAGACATTGTATCTGATTCAGAAAACAAAGTTACTTCTCTGATTTCATCAGGTGTAATTCTGCAACGATTTATTGTTTCCAGCCTATCGGCCGTCTGTCTACTAAATGAGTGGTAGAAAGTGAAGTATGCGTCATCCGTTTTGGTGTTGATGTCTTCATGGTGAAAGTCATGCTGCCAGTACAGGTCTAGCCCGGGCATTCCTGTGTGAAAAACATGGCATAATTAATATTGTGCATTTCTACAATAAACTTATAAGTTATTAATGATGGCCACAACCTGAAATTTTACAATTTATCATGATGTGGATCAATATGCCATACAAATCTGATAATGTGAAATTTTATTCCTACCTTTTGGATAGTCTCCATATAAGACAGCATCCAGCTTGTTTATCACAGTTTGGTCCACAATGGCTTCAAATTTCCGTGCAAAAAATGTGACTTTTTCTGCAGTTCCCTATGTGAACAAAAAGTTTATTCTTACCTATTTGCCATGTGTATAATATTCAATGTGCTATATTTGAATATACACTCCATATGATGTGTCGTAGATCTAGTAATACCCAAATGTTTTTACCCAAAGACAAACAAGTATTAAAAAAAAAAAGCGATTTTTGAAAACCACATTCTTACCAGTAATCTTGAGAGATCCTCTTGTTTGAAGTCATTTGGGGAACATCCACACCAGTCAACGATATGCTTGTACTGGCACTTGCAGCCTTGCTTACGGCGCCAATTTGTAAGGTGAAGNGATTTTTGGAAACCACATTCTTACCAGTAATCTTGAGAGATCCTCTTGTTTGAAGTCATTTGGGGAACATCCACACCAGTCAACAATATGCTTGTACTGGCACTTGCAGCCTTGCTTACGGCGCCAATTTGTAAGGTGAAGATTGTTGTCCACAAATGTAGTGCAGAATTTACTGTTCTGGATAACTGTGTGGAAGAAGGACTGTAGAGGAAAATAAGCCATAAGCCATAAATACTTTGGAGAGAGTCTCACAATTAATTTAAGGATGACACTTGTCAGCCAAAACAGTTCTTCAATAAAGTTTTTAATAAATTCTTTGATAATATCGATGTCAAATTTCTTAACTTACAAACAGAAATAATTTAATTCCTGAAAAAATATTTAAAAACATATATATAACATTATGAAATTTGAGATATAAATGTATTGTAGGCTATTTTTATAAACACATCTTCTAAGTAGATTCCTTAAAAATAAACAAATTAATCAAAATAGAAAATTGGAAATTTCTTTATATCATTACCAGAAAAATTATGAATTAGCAGTATCAGGTGTTTTGTGTCTTGAAGTAATGTTTAAACTTATGAGCATAAGTAGGCCAAAAGCACACATTTCTAAATCAATATACAAAGTTTGAGGATTATCATTATACCTCAGCAGGCAAAAGTGTGTATCTGTACATTGTTTTTAACCCATCAAGGAGGGCATCATCCCCATGAACAACATAAGAGGCAAATGGACGACTTAGGGCAATCCAGTCACTACCGCCATCTATCCTAATGCCATCTGGAAGGCTACGGGTCCCAAGACGCCACATATGGGTGTCACACTCATAGAATGTCCTGTCTAGACCCTGCTTCTTGATAAATCTGATAATAACATATAGAGTCAAAATCAAATAACCCACATGGTCATACAAGAAATATGAAAGATATCTATTATAATATTAATAATAAGTTTAGGATGAATGGGCAAAACTTTTATCTAGTCTGCATTAGATGGCATGACACATTTACTTACAGAGGCTTTACAAATAGGCAAAGGTGAGAGATGACAAAGAATGTCACTCTGTCTGATCAAATCCTTTGAATGCATTTTGATTTTTCATTTTCAGGATAGGATTTATTAATCCGTTTGATACTTTAAAGAAAGAGGCTAGTATTACACCAAAACTTACAGTAATATCCTGACATAATATAATATTCCATTTCTAATATCAACAGTTCATATTTCAATATGCCAAATTAAGACACAAAAAAGAAATTCTTACCTTGGGGTATCTCTGCCATGTGATTTGAGAAAATTTTTGTGTCTGTACCTTGTAAGGAAGTTGGTTAAATCCCAAATGGTTCTGAAAAATAGATAAACACATTAATAAATAACAACCACAATACCAAACAGCAGTAAAGATCATTAACTGACAGTAGAGAGCAAAAAGTAAGTTTCATCAAACTTAATATAAAAAGGTGAATAATCAACAAATACCAAGAAGATTCTTCCAATAGCACTTACTTGACAGGGTAGTCTGACTCACTTAAATTGAGAACAAAGTGCCAGTTCCAATCTTTCATGGCTAATAAATCTTTAATACAAGTGAGAAGCATCTGTAGAAGACTGGCTCCGCCCCAAATTGTGGACATACGGACTGGAGCAAAACGTACATTGGGGAATCTGGCCAATTGGTTCACAAGTTCTCTATAAAGATACTCTTGACGCTAAGGGTAAGATAACAAATGACTCTAAGATAGATGCAGATCTAGAAATTATTCACAAAATGCATTTAGACCTAAAAATTGTTTGAAGCTCTTGTCAATACTACATCAAGTTTTTTTCCATAATACTTTTCAGATTTCAAAATCCAACACTGTAGTGTAATATAAGCAAAGTCAGCAAATTCTTCTCAATTAATCTTGATACGTACTTTTACCATAATTACAAATACTTACTGAATCAACGTGGATGTAGTAATAGTGGTTGACATGAAACAATGCCTTAAAAAGCCTTTTGGTCTGCCTAAGTGATCTACCATTGAGAGTCAAGATAAAAGCAATTCTCACTGCATTCTTTGGAAACTCTTCTGATAAAGAGCTGACCAGATGGACAGCATTATTGGGCTTTTCTGAAATACAATTTTCCAGTTGATAAAATACAAATTTTATTTTTCTATCTTCTTATTCCTAATATGGAAACAGACTGACAGCATTTGGCCAAATGGTTTAAATCCATATTAACGCATTTTGGTGAATCCACAGTCCATCATGAGACTTTTATAACACAGAATGATCCTTCAAATTTATGTTCTAATAACATTAAAAATAAAGAAATCTCTGCCTTCACAATCTATACATTACTTTAATAACACAAAAAATTGAGAAATGTCTGCCTTTACAATCTATACAAATACCTCCCAGCCCCGTGTGGTAAATATTCTGTGCCTTGTACCCTCCACACAGAGCTCCACTCTCCCCTGGACACTTGCTACTGCAGGAGGCCTCATGGAGTTGGCCATATTTACCATACTCATTACCACACCAGCATTCTTTGCCATATTGCACACCTGCGTATTTAAATCCTGAAAATTTTTTTTGGAAAATTTAAAACCTGGCTGTCCATGGTCTAACATGTTGTGTGTGTGTGTGTGTGTGTGTGTGTGTGTGTG